CCCAGAATTTATTTATAAAAAATTATGTATTTATTTTTACATTTAAACTTCAGTGACCTTCAAAGTACTCTCCATTTGATGCAATACACCTATCGAGATGTTTTTTCCACTGCTCAAAAGTTTTTAAACTCATCAATTTTGATGCCTTTTAGTGCTTCTGCCATTTTTTGTTTTTCTTCCACATCTGCAAACCATTTCCCTTTGAGGACTTTCCTCATCCAAGTAAACAAACAAACAAACAAAAAAGTGGCTTTGAGCAAAATCCAGTGAATTGGAAGGGTGGGGTACAGGGGTCAGAAACTGCTGAACACTCAGTGCAGTGTGGGCAAGTGTGTTGAACTGCTGCACATTGTGTATATCCCTCATTATGAAATGGGCAAAAGCACTGAAAGACTCTCAAGAAAAAAAAAATCACTAAAGGCAAATGCAGCCCCTCACAACAAAGCTACCTGGCACACTGATGCCAATAGGTTCCTAGAACACGTACCTGGCAAGAGAAGCTTGTACTACAAGGAGTCCACTCTCCAATTTTATATATATATATATATATATATATGTATGCATATATATATATATACATATATATATATATATATACATATACATATATATATATCTGGGTTTTGGGGGGGGTTGTAGTTCCTCTATTTTTTTGTGCCTGATACCCTTATTCAATGTTACTCACAAAATATTTAGACACAATCATTTTAAAATCATTCTCAGACATGCTACACTTTAAGATAAATTATTATCAGAATTAACTTCACTGCACAGGGAACATGCTTAGATATCATGTGTGCACAGAAAGAGCAACACAGCCTGATTCTGCTTTGGTGAGTTCTTAAATATGCCCCAAAGAGAAAAATATTTGTGAAAAAGTAAATTTCTGCAGAGGAAGAGAAGGAAAGTCACATCACCTTTAAGGTAAAGGCTAAAAGAGAGGGAGCATAGAAGCCACATAAAGGCTGAGAATTGTTAGAGGCCCTAGTTAGGAGAAATGCAGGCAGAACAGGCTTCTCTATCTCACCTGGCCTGAGGTAAGGGGGAAAAGGAGCTATTGCCCATAAGAGAAAAAGAAAAAGGATGTCCTCCTCCAGCACTTTTTCAGATAGCTCCAAGAACCACAGTAAGATTCAGGTTGTGTGAAGAAATGGAAGATGCTCAGGCCTCACCTGGTGGGGATTTGGTAACACTATAAGTTGCCACATAGAGTCTGAATGCTCCTGGAACCATTTTGGAAATCAGAATGGTGAAGATGGGGTCTCAGGCATAAGCCAAGAAAAGTACAAGATTTTTAAATTTTGCTCCTTGGGTGAGTTCTGGTAATAAGTTGTCTCTCTCTCATCATTATGAAAGTGACAATAAAGAGTTCTCAATTGATTAGATCTCTGCCATAGTTCTCCACAAAGGTAGCTCTAATATATTAATGTCCCCTCCCCACCAAAATCGGGGCTGTTGTATTATATACGTACATGAGAAATTCATAGCTTTTGTATGCTCCAGACTCTTGAACTCATCTAAGTTCCAAATGAGTCTTTTTTTTTTTTTTTAATTTAAATCAATAATAGTTTCAATATACAGGAGAACTACTCTGCAGAAATATCTTTTCTGTTAAGGATTACAATTTGAAACAATTAAAGGGAAAAACTGTACCTTCCTCTAAGATCTGGTTCTCAGGTATGCAAGTTTTACCCTTGCAGTTAAGGTGAGCAAACTGCCAGTACAGTCCAGGATAGGAAGGTTCTAGAAACCGAGTCAAACATAAGGAGTCACCCATATTCATGAGAGAACGAAGCCAGAAAGGAGAGTCATTGTCAAAATAAGAGTTTTGCATGAGTTTCAGAATGATCATAAACATTCTTGAGTAGTTATAAGCTGAATGCTGTGCAAAGCTGTTTCTCATGTTAAAATATGTATTATGAAATATTTTGGACTTTTAGAATCAAAGAGAAGCCAGTGTATAGACCACAGAAATGTAAGATGTTAAACCTGCCAGTTTTGCTTAAGATCCAGCACTTTTAAAGAAATAAAACATTACAGATTTAACCACAGCCTACTCCTCATCCCACCTTTTCCCTTTCCTCATCCTAAATATCCTAATATTTTATGTATCACTCCAATCATATTTTTGTTCTTTTTTACTATACCTATGTTTATGCGATGTGCCTTTTTCACCAAATATTTTGATATTTACCCATGTTGACACATGTGGATCTGGTTGATTCACATTAGCTTCTGCATTGAACTTCCATATAAGAATCATTCTCAGTTGATCTACTCCAGGTAGACTGTTTATACTTTTTTAACATCCAAGAGTGCTTTATGGACCCATCTTGCACACATATCCTTGTGAACATGTGTAAGTTTCTCTAAGTCTTTTCCTTGAAACGGAATTTCTGGATCATAAGGCATGTACCCTCCAATTTTACTAGGCATTGCCAAAATTATTTCCAGTGATTTTTGTCAACTTGTACATCTGCCAAAAAGATACGAATTCTTTTGCCCACTTTTTCCTTTTTTTCTCTTATTGACTTTTAAGCATTCTTTTGGAAGTTACTTCAATGCAAATGTATTCTTCCAATCTATGGTTTGCCATTTTGTTTTGTTAATATTATCATAGAACCTTAATAATGATGTGGAAAATTTTATCAACATTTTCCTCCTAGGTTTGTGCTTTTTGTATCTTAAAAAGCAATCTACCCCAGTGTGGTGAATGCATTTCTTCTTTACTTTCTTCTAAGTGTTTAAAGTTAAAAAATTTCCAAGTTAAAAAATTTCCTCTTCACATTTATGTCTTCAAAACCATCTAGCATGTATTTTTCTGTGTGTGGTTAGAAAATTTCATTTTATCTTTTTACAGAAATCTTTTTAAAAAATTCATTCTGCCACCAATGACTTTTAAATATATCTTTCCTATTTTCCTACAGAAGTAGGCCTGTTTCTAGGCACACAATTTTGGTCTACTGACCTCTCTATCCCCATCTGTTAGTACCATAGTTTAAATTGCTATAATTTGATAATCAATGTTGGCATTATCTGTAGGGTCTTTCCTAACTACTGCTTTTCATATTGCTTTGGCTCTTCATTTCATCATGTAAACCTTGGAATTAGCTACATCTCCCATTTTCTCCTTTTTTTATACCCATTTCTTTTTGTTGGTGGTGAAATGAAGTTTTTTGTTTTTTCCAGTTTGTGGCTAGTTTACCAAATCTTTTATTTAGTATTCCATCGTTGACCAACACAAATAAATGGTGTTATTAGGAAAGAGGGGAGGGGAGCTGTGTGAAACAAACATGCTGTATTGCCTTCCCAAATTAATTTGGTGAGGTTGAGGATAGTTATGATAAAGTCTTCCCAACCATGAACATACGAATCTCCATTTAGTTCTTCTTCTATGTTCTTTAATAAAGAGTAACAATTTTTTTTTCCATAAAGATCTTACACATTTTTGCTAGATTAATTCCTGGAATTAACTTTAAAAATTAATCTTGACAATTTTTTGTGCTATTTCTTGCATTTGATCTTCTTGGCCACTAGTGTGTCCTCTCCTTTAATTCACCTACTTTACTATTTTGTCAAAAAATCATGTTAAGATTTGTGTATGTGTGTTGCATTCAGATTTTTTTTTTGATGCTCTCCAGATATTCATGTTTCCTCCAGCAATTATTACACTGAACATGGGTTCCCCGTCGTTTAACCTGATTATTTCCTTCTCTAGTTGGTACAGTCCCTTGACTATACAATTACCTTCTTCTCACATAATTTGGGGAATTCCACAGATGCTGAATGAAAAAGGTGTTTCTTGCCCTAAGCTTTGGGTGAAAAGAGGAATTGTTACGTTCCTCCAGAAGTCTCCTGGAGGAAGACTCTGACCTTTTTCTGCTCAAGCCCTTCTCCCCACCTGAAGACTAGGGAACTCTCAACCCATCCAACTACTTGCCTTTTGTGGGCAGGAAGACCCAGCCCCTTCAGACCAGTTTGAAATCCTCAGAGGTTGAAACGCCAAGCTTTTTCAGAGATGATCTGACCTTTGCTGAACTCCAAAGCTGCTCACATTTGATGTCTCCACCCCTAAGGGAAGAAGCCCAATTTTTTTCCAGGGGAGTCAACAGATGGCTCTAGAGCTAAAGGCAAGTAGCTTGGAGTTAGAAATAGAAGACATTATGATCCCCAAATCCACCACTGGTGTGTTTTCTACTTGTTTCTTAATAATTTGTTGGTGGCAAAAATGAATGCTAGAAATTGATTTTTTTTCCCAGCTTTATGGTTGGTTGGCCAAATCTTTAAGTTAGTATTCCATCATTGTTCAAAACATGAATTGTATTTTTAAGAACAAAGGGACAGGACATCCTGCAGATTCCCAAAGAAAAGACTAAAAGGCAAAATATGGCCATAAGTATCCTTTTTTTTTTTTTCTTAATCGTTTACTGAATGAGCACAATTTTCTTTACATAGGCGCCTAATTGCCTTTTGTTGTTGTTGTGGGTTGCTTGGTTTTTAATACTGGGAACATTAAGATTCAAGATTCAGTTTGAAAGATGCCCAGAAATTTTAAGGGTAGCATACACCAATCCCTCCCACACTCCCCCCAAAATGTAGTTGGTTTGAAAGGGCAGAATGATCCATTTTTCCATTGTAGGTGAGCAGATGTTTATGAAAGATCTTATAACCGTTTGTCTCATTAATCATGAACATTAGACGGTAAGATGCCATTAGGAGAATTTCTACTTGGAAATATAAGAAGACGAGTACGCAGGTTCAAGTCTTATACTTTTAACATGAGCTTGTTGAAAGAAACGTTAACAATTCCAAAACGAAATCAAACGAATTTTAACTTTTTCCTCCCAAAAAGCATAAAAATGGAGAGGAACTTAACAGGACATGCTTAAAAGGTGAAAACAACTCTTCTTCGTACTACCAGTCCTTGGGCGGTTTCCATGGGACGAGTTCTTCTCTCTCTTGGTGTCTCTGGAAGGGCTCCGGTCCCAAGTCTGTTCCTATCAGTATCTGCTCCTGCCTCCCCCTCTTTCCAGGCGGCCTCCGCCCCGGGGCACTCGGCGGCCCGACCGGCTGTAGGAATCACGCGGGGGCGCGTACCCCCTTTCCATGGACGGAGGGAGCCCGCGATCCGGTCTGCCCACCCGCTCTCGGCCCCTCGAGTAGCGGTCACTGCGGCCGCTGCCGTAACTGTCGCGGCCGCCGCTGTAGGCGTCGGGCGAGCAGCCGCGGTACTCCTCGTAGCGGCCGCCTCCTCCTCCTCCGTAAGATGGCGGGGGCCCCCGCGCCGGCGGGGCGCCGCGCGGGTCCCCGTAGCTCTCAAAGAGATCTCGGTAGGAGCCTCCGCTCGGGTGATCCGTGTAGTCACGGTCGCGACCCCCGTAGCCGTCGCGGTCGCCGTAGCCTCTCGAGGGACAGTCGTCCCGGGCACCGGGGTGGCCGTAATCGCGGTAGGTGTACTCTCTGGGCGAGGGGGCGAAATCCCGGGGGTCGCGGTAGTCGCGGCTCGAGTAGCTATCTCTGGGCGAGTAGCCCTCCTCCCTCGGGCCCAGGTAGGGGTCGCGGCGCGGGGGCGGCGGCTCCCGGCGCA